TGGGGTCTTTACTGTTTTCCTCTGATAGGGCCCCTCCGTCATGTGTCGATGGCCTAGGGAGTAGACATTGCCACCTCCTCCTGCTGCCTGCCTGTCCTGCCCTGCACACCAGCCAGCCAGCCCTCCCAGGAAGTGGCCGCTGGAGCTACAACACTTCAAGGGCCGACGCTCAGAATATAGCAGCTGGCGGGGGGGGGGGCATGGCACGGCGTGGGCACCGACTGACCCAGAGGGCCCTGGCTGAGCTCGAGCCCTGACGACACCGCTCCATTTGCTTTCCGCTGTCCTCGGTGAATACCTGGGTGCATGGCCCTGCGCCCTGGCCACTGCTTCCTTCTCCTGGTCTCCTTCCTTCCCTGCCCCCATTGCCCTGTTTGCACTGTCTTCCCGCTGGCGTGGGGACGCCTCCAGCTCGCTCCACTCAGGGCCTCTGCTCTCACGGGTCACTTGGTTCACTCCTCACTTCAACTAGATCTTTGTCAAATATTATTTCCCAATCCCCGCTCCTGCCCTGGGAACCTTCTTTCTGCCTGCCCTGCTGCTTTGTTTCTCCATGGCATTGGATGCATTGGAAAATGCACGCACATGTGTGTATTGTGGCTTCTCTCCCTGTCTGTGGGTGCAGGGATGGCTTCCATTGTCCCCCATGGGGCCACTGTGCCACCACATCCCAACAGGGTGCCGGGCATGCAGCAGGTGCTCAGAAAAGGTTTGCTGAATAAATGACTATGTATTAAAATTATCTCAAAGCCAGACTCGGTGGCTCAGCCTGTAATCCCACGCTTTGGGAGGCTGAGGTGAGTGGATTGCCTGAGCCCATGGGTTCGAGACCCGCCTGGGCAACTTGGTGAGACCTCATCTCTACAATAAATAAAAAATTAGCTGGGCGCGGTAGCACGCACCTGTAATTCCAGCGACTTGGAAGGATCGCCAGAGCCCAGCAGGTCGAGGCTGCGGTGACCGGGAGCAACCACTGCACTTCAGTCAGGACGGCAGAGTGTGAGACTCCAACTCAAAAAGAAAAATCTCGAAATCCTCCCTCCTTTCCTCCCCAACGCATGCGGGATGTCCTGCAGATGTGGAGGTGGAAATACAGCAAGTGGGCACACTAGGAGACCTGGTCTTGCTTCAAGAGCTGTCAGCATGGCACCCCTCATTTCCCCCGCAGTTTGGTTTCACCAGTCTTTCTTCCGTCCCAGGAAAGTGCTTTGCATCAGGGTTAAAGTGCTATTGGCAGAGTCATCCCTCTTTCATTTTCAGGGGACTCATACTGTATCTTATTCCAGTACCTGGGCCCACCTTTTAGATGCTCGTGTCTAGCACTGAGGGGCATCAGCCTTCAGGAATCTGGAAACACCGCAGCTAAGCTTGGCTCTCCCACACCGGGGCCCCGTGGGTGACAGGACTGGGGCCGTGGTTGCCCCACTGGCTGCCCTCCATCATGACTCACAGTGTGTGGAGCGGAGTCCACTCTGCTGCTTGGAGGTGAGCACTGGCGTGCGCGGGGGGGGCTGTCCACGCAGGCGTAGAGCTCCTCCCACCCCTCCACCTTCCACACCCTCGCTGGACTTGGAGAGCAAAGGCCCCTGGTTAGTTCCATGTGTGAGAACGCGTACAATTCTACGGCATCTCTGGAGGTGCCCGGGCAGGAGGGTCTGGGCAGCACGTCCAGCTTCACGGCACGGGTCTGTCCCATCCCGGGGGCCAAACAGTGTGTCGCCACCCTCGGGCAGCCAGCGTTTGGGGAATAGCAGGTGTCTCTGGTCCCATAGAGGTTGGCTTGCCAACTGGGATTTGTTTGCTTGTTGACTTGGGGTACTTTGATGTTTAAGCAGCCCCCATCCCCCTCTGTGTGATGAGAATAACTGGTGACTTTTCCTCCACATGGAGGATGAAGGCTCCCATTCATTCACTCATTCACTCATTCGTTCATGCATTGACCCCTCCATTCCGACGTATTTTCATGAAGTGCCCACAATGCGCTTGGGGCATGCTACAGCTGAAGATGGGTTGTGGGATCCCTTAACACGTGACCTGATGAGTGGCCTGTCCCTAGACCCAGGGCAGAGATGTTTCCTGAGCTTTGACTGCGTAGGGCTGACCATCCTCGGGCGATGCTTTGTGGCTCCCTAAGGACAATGACGGAACATTCCATCCAGTCAAGTCGCATTTGTTTGTGCTCACAGGGGCCAAGAGACTGTTGGGATGGCTGAGCCCCAAGACCATTCTGAACATCTCTTTTAGCTACTCAACTATCTTAGACGGAACCACCTGAAATGGCCTATATTTGACAGTGTTCCCGCTATCTTAGACCACTGCAAACACACGATTAATAGTATTTCCGCTATTACCAAAGCTGTACCAGGATGGTTCACAAAGAACAAGACTCGGGTGGTTTCCTCTTGCTTTCTGGCCTCTGGCGAGGACAGGAAATGAGTGCATGCCTGGGTCGACACAACCCTGAGAAACTGAGGCACATCAAGGGGAGCATTTGCTCATGCCACACTTATTTCTACCTGGTGGCTGTCATTTTGGGCTCCTTCCAGAGGCAAGTCTGCCCATATCAGAGGCGGGGGCCTACGGGTTCTAGTCCCAGCCCCTCCAATCATGCATGGAGGGCTCGGCACAATGCCTGGGCTCACTGAGTGCCCCACCCAGGCCAACTATTAGTGTTACTATAACCATCATGCACTGTGTGGCTTTGGGCAAATCAGCAAACCTCTCTGAGCTCAATGTCCTTTTTTGGAAAAAGGGAAGATATGCACGAAAATGCTTTGTAACGTGCTGTGGAAATGTACAGTAGAGGTTAAATACCTGGGCACGGGTTTATCTTTTAGGAAAACAGTAGCCTTGGGGATGAAATAAAAGTCCCACTCACAACATGTGAATTCAAGAAGGACAGGGATGCCCCTCGTAGGCAGGGGCTGTTGGAACTTTTGTTTCCTAATTGATCTAATGTGCTAAGTGAGCTTAATGGAAGTTAATTAATGATGCTATTGGTGGGTGGAATTACCTCGGCAGAGCCCAAATGACATCAAAGCAACAGCAGGCAGGTGTCCTCTGGGATAATTGAGGTGTGCAGGCGGCCATTGGGCGGTGGGCGGGGGCCGGGGATTCGGGCCACTCAGGCAGCAGGGCTGCCTGCCAAATGCCAACCTGTTTACGGCTCCTGGATCTGAGTCTCAGATTTGCTTGAGTTTTGGGAGCTGGGTTCCGGGGCATTTCCTTGGGAATGCATTCCATTCTTTGGAACCACAAAACTCACCTGCACCCAGAAGGAGAGTCCGGCAACCTCAGGGACTGAGTCTGGAACCTCAGGGACTTTGACTAGAAGACACTCCACTGTTACAGAGTGAGCGTGGTTTTGTGCCCCGTGAGATGGGAGTGAGACCAGGTCTGTCAGCTGCCCCTGAGCTGCCCTGGGCTGCTGCCTGCGGTGGGCACTGTGCTTGTCACGTGGTCACAGTGGTGCTGGACGAAGGGGGTGAGCCCTGACGCGTCTGCGTTTTGCAGATATCCTCAACAAGATGAAGATTCAGTCTATGCAAATTTGAAACTGGGTAGTGGCCAGCAACGTGTGTTACCGTAGTGAAAATCAAATCTTTCGGGGAAATTGTATTTACCCTTCCCTCCCAAAGACAGGTCACCCCTCACTGTGCTGTCTCAAATGAATCCTTCCACGGCACAGCCTGGCTCATTTGTCAGGGAGGAACACAGCAGAGACCCTGGCTGGTCGTCACCGGCCCGGCTGTCTCCCCCAGCCGTGAAGGGTACACACGGGCCGTCACTGGAACAGACCTTGTTTCCCAACTTGGATGAGTCACTTTCTTCTTGGTGGTCACTGTCAAAATGCATCTTTAAAGCTTTTAACTGGCCATGACTCAGGAATCTCAGAGCATGAAGCCGGGCAAAAACGTATCCTCCACCTCGGACGTTTGGATGCTTTCTTTCCTTCAGTCCGTTATGACTTTTCACCTCTTTATAATCTGAGTTAGTTAAAGTTTTACTTATGGTTAGAAAGGGCCTCAAAAATGCCACTCCAGAGCCACAGAGCCAAGGCCCGCTGGGAAGCGGGGGAGGCCAGCCGGCCGTGTGCTTGCCCCGTCTCTCCCTGCCAGTCACCTCCTCTGTGCGTGTCACGGGGGAGGCATGTATGCTGCCCGTCGCATCGGTTCCCGACTGAGTGACACGGCTTCTGCCCGGTTCTCACCGCACCTTACTCCCACGCCTTGCTGTTTTAATGTTCTTTCTGTGCCACGCAGGGAGGCAGACCCTGTCACTGACCTCACCTGCCGTCCTCCTGTCCCACCTCCCCCCTCCCTGCCATGACATCCCAAACCTGGGCCACCGGCAGGTGTGGTCCTGCAGGATGCTGGAGAGTCCAAGCCAGCTCCCGGCATGAGCTCAACAGCCCCGTGCTCTGTCAGAGCACGGAGAACCCTCTTAGTGGGAAACGACACCTCAGTCGACGCAAATAGATATCTACCCCTCCTGCTCTCTGTTCCCCCAACCCAGAGGCCATGACACAGACTCTCAGCTGGGACTGGAAGCCCCTCCTGGCAGGTTTCTCAGGGCATGGCCATGCTCGTGATGGGAGACAGGTATAGAGCCCGCGGGAGCCTCCACCGCGGCTCGCCTGCCCTGTGAGTCAGGGTCCGGGCAAGCTGGAGAAACACTCTTTCAGGGCTCCCTGAAGACACTCATGCGTGAGGAGCCCAAATCCTAAAGCCTGCACGCATGGCACAGCCAAGTTGGGCTCCCTAAGCACATGTGCACCAATAGCAAAGTGGGGTTTCTGATGTTTTCCCGAAAACAAAGGAGCAGTCTCAGCTCTTAGAACTGGCAGTGCCGACGTACAGCAATCGGTAAGCTTGTTCAAACGCAACCCAGAAATGACATGCATCTCAAAAATGCACCTGGGCACCCTCTCCGCCCGTGACACTCTGGTCTCAGCCACAGCAGAAGGGCTTAGAAAACCAGCGGAACAGACCAAGGCTTACCTGGCCCTGCTGCAGGTCAGCTTTCAGTCCCCGCACAGATGGGTCTCTGGAAGAGGCAGGCACGGCCCGTGTGGGCAGCGGGCTTCACAGGTGGCCGCCTGGCCGCGCTCTCAGACGCAGGTGCTCTGCGTCCCCCGAGGCCGGCAGCGCTGCCTGGGACCGGGACACCTCTCTGCCACCGGCCCTGCTTCCTTCCTGCTTTAAGGGCGTCCCGGGAACTCTTCCTGGGCTTCTGGCTGTCCTGTCTGCGAGTCTGTAGACTTGGTCTTGGGAGAGGGGCTTCCCTCACTGCAGACTCACCTGCACCATCTAGAGGTCTCTCTCAGCACTGGAGAGCTCGTGCGGCGTGCCAGCCCTCCTGCAGCCTGACACACCTGGCTCGCCCCAACTTCCGCCCCTCGACAGACCTGTTAGAGTGTGTAAAGCTCACTGAGTTCCTTGGAGGGGGGGGGTCTTGCTTTTATCAGAGCCTTTGGGCATGGGAATGCTAAAAAGCAAAATGCACATGAAGAGATCAGTCATCAAAGCTTGTTCCCAGAAGGACCCCCCACTGAGATGGCCACAGGCATGGGTGCTGCTGCACCCACTGCTCACATGTCTGTACATGTTCACGCCGTGTCCCCCACACGTCGACTGCTGTCCTCAGACCAGGACTGCCCTTGTTCTCCTCGCCCCAGACGCCCCACAGCCCCGAGTAGCCCTGCAAACTCCAGATAAGCATACACACCCGATGTAACTCCAGAAGAACACGCACACCTCGTGTGACCTTGGATAACCATATACACCCCACATGACTGCAGGTGAGTATACATACCCCATAAACTCCAGAGGAGTGTACACACCCTATGTAACTACAGATGACTGTGTACACCCCACATAACTCCACATGAGTATATATACCCCATAAAACTCTAGATGCATGCACACAGCTCAGATGACTTCAGATAACCATATACACCCCACAGGACCACAGGTGAGTATACACACCTCATATAACTACAGACGAGTGCGTATACACACCCCATAAGCTCCAGATGAGTATACATATCCCATGTGATTTCAGATGACCGTGTACACCCCGCATAACTCCACATGAGAACGTACACCCCATAAAGCTCTAGATGCGTACACACGCCTCAGATGACTTCAGATAATCATATACACTCCACGTGATTCAAGATGAGTATCCACACGCCATAAACTTCAGATGAGTGCATACACCCTCAGATGCCTTATACACCACATACGACTCCAGATGACTATGTATATCCCATATCACTCCAGACGCATATACACACCTCATATGACTTCGGGTAACCATATATACCCCATGTACCTCCAGAGGAGTATACACACCCCATAGAACTTCAGAAGAGAATACACACCCCCAGATAATTCCAGAAAAGTTTGCACACCCCATGTAACTCCAGCTGAGTCTACAGACTCCATATGACTCCAGGTGACCAGATCCATCCCATATAACTAGGTAATCAGGAAGCTGTTTGAAACACAAATATTTTGAAAGGATACATCTTTTCCTATGTGTCGATTACTTCTCAAAGGTTAAATGATAAGGGAAAAAACCCAGCCTTAAAATAATGTAACTTTTCTGTCCTTTTCTACCCTTACACCTGAACAGACAATACAGGCATGGAACAGCTCCTTTAGATTTGGAAGTTAGAGATTATTTTAGGTGTAATTAAAATAATTTGTTTTCCACTGGAAATAAAATGGTGATTTAACATTTACCAAACAGGGAAGAAGATAGGAGAAAAAATTAGACCGGCCCCAAAAGATGGATGCTCTAACAGAAGACGGGGCAGTGTTTTTTTTCCTCTCCGAAAAATTAAGAACATGATGCCAGAACACGAAGCAAGGTTATGGATGGCTATACTTGACATTGTCCTAGTCATCATATCCAAATGAAAAGGAGTATACAAACTAATTCAGTGGATTAAGAGAAAGAATGAAATGAGAGATCATTGCTTATCTTCATAATTGAAGGCTCCAGAGCTTTGACGACGCTTGATTTTCTGTGTTGCACATTTTCTAAAAGGCTGGGGCAGAAACAGCAGAAGGTTCCCTTATCAAAAACTGAGAACGTGAATCACAATTGTAGGCCACATCTGGGCCCAGGGGTCTCCCGGGGCTGTGGAGAATGGAGTGTAATTGAGAACACGTGCTCAATATGGTGGCCCCGCGGGACTAGTCACCCCTCCCCTTTGTGGCCTGTGCTCAGAAGCCTGGCCAGGACCAGCAGAGGGCACGCTGGGCATGGCAGCACAGCTTTTCAAGTGACTTTAAAAAACTTATCTTTCTCTTAATTTTTTTTCTGAGTTGGTTCTGTCACCTGGACTGGAATGCAGTGACACACTCACAGCCACCCCAGCATTGACCTGCTGGGCTCCGGCGATCCTTCCACCTCAGCCTTCCAAGTAGCTGGAACTACAGGTGTGCACTACCACGCCCAGCTAATTTTTAGTTTTATTGTATAGACGAGGTCTCGCCAAGTTGCTCGGGCTGGTCTCGAATGCCGGGGCTCAGGCAATCCACTAGCCTTGGCCTCCCAAAGTGCTAGAATTACAGGTTGAGCCACCGAGACCAGCCATCTTCAAGTGATTTTAGAGACTCCACAGACTCTTTGAAAACAGGCCAGGTTGGGAAGAAAGTCTCCTGGTGGCTCAGATAATCTCCATATTCTGGTCATCATTATTTAACATCTATCTTATTACTAACCTCATGTTGGATGAGCAGAAAGAAACCCCCAACACCCTCACATCCCATGGAGCTAGTATTCGTCTACACTAGTGTGCTCAGGTGTGTTTCCACAGAGCCCTCCCGTGCCTAGGCGCTGTTCTGGCTGCTGGTTATAGCAAGATGAGGAAAGGCAAAGTCTTGGGCCTCAGGACACTCAGACTGCTTGGGAGGCAGAGTAACTGAGCTAACAAATAACCATGAAAAATACCTCCTGCCATGGTAAGTGAACGGGACAGGATGCCCGGTTTGTTTGCTGTCTGCAGATGACAGTGTCCTGCTACTTACTATCTGAAAAATTGGCATCAGACCAAATGTCCCCAAACAAGGATGCCCTGTCTGGCAGCTGGCCCCTGATATTCATCTGGCTTCACCTAACAACTCACCCAGCAGGGAAACTTCTGGTGACTCATAAATGGGGTTGATCTCAGAGCTCCCTTCGGTAAATGATGCCGCTCAAGTCGTGAGATAGTGTAAGTGTGTGTGATGCAACCTTTTTGTGCCCATGATGGGTGCTCCTGATACCCACTATGTTACTCAGAGCCAAACGATTACAGCTCTGTCTGTGGCACAGAATTTGCAGCTTGGCATCCATCCCAGAACTGGGATTGTTTTCTGGGCACACCCAGCCCTCCTGGGGGGGTGGGGACAGCAGACTCCTCAGGCCCACTGGGTCCAGCTCCTGAGCTCTCCTGAGAAGGCGTTTCTGTCCCTGGCTCTCCGTGGGGACTCCATGGGGCTCTGCCCTCCCAGAGCCTGGGCCAGCGAGGTTTGAAGTACTGCCTCAGACCCCTGCTGTCCGCGCCTGTCATACCCGTGTAGGCAGGAGCAGCAGGACAATAAATATGAGGGATGTAAATCTGTCTCTCAGGAGCCACGCCTTCCTAAGAGTGTAGCTTTGGTTGAGGCCTGGGTACCGAAGAGACCAGCAGGCTGATGGAGGACTAGGGGTGGTGAGGGGCAGGGGTCAGGGCTTTGGTCAATAAGGAGGGTCAGCGCTGGTTGTTCTGAGGAGGGAAGTGACGCACGCTGGGACTCAAGGAAGAGGGAGGAAGTCTTGCAGCGGTGGGGGGAAGGTGTTTTGGGTGAAACAGAGAGCTTGTGCAGAGGCCCCGCAGAGAAGAGCCGGAAACCGATGGCCATAGAGTAGGGATCTGGCCTGAGGTGAGCCAAGCCTAGGAAGGCAGTGGAGGCAGGCCGAGGGGTGTAGGCTTCATTCTAAGTAGACCATGATTTGAAGAAGACTGTGATTGGAAGATGGTTTAAAGTATCTTAGAAGCAGAACAGGCCTCTGTCCTTAGCAAACTGAGGCAGGAGAGAGACTGAGTCTGGGGAGCGTTTGTACACGTAGGGTCTTGAGTCTATGCCCACCAGACACAGGGTGATGAAATGCTAAGGGAGCCATTCAGAAGCCCAGGTAATCTGTCCTTCTCCAGCATACAGACTGGACAGCGCTGGGTCAAAAACAGACTAAACCAGCCAGGCTTCTCATGATTTTACTCATTGGAAAATGAGATTCTGCATTTAGCTGCTTAACTGAACTTACCAACACCCTGCCACAGATCAGAAAAGCAAAACCTGGCTGTCCTTTGGCTACCTGCTCTAGCTTGGGCTGCTATAATAAAAGTACCACCAGCTGGGAGGCCTAAACAGCAAGTGTTTATTTCTTAGAGTTCTGGAATCTGGGAGGTCTGAGACCAAGGTTGTTCAGAAGGTCAGGCGTCTGGCAGAGAGCCGTCTTCCCACTTTAACCTCACACAGTAAAGGGGCCAAGGCAGCTGTCTGGGGTCTCATCTAACAAGGGCACTAATCCCACCATGAGGAGCCCCTTCATGGCCTGATCCCTTCTCAAGGGCCCCACTTCCAATATCATCTCCTTGGGGCTTAGGATTTCAATGTATGAATTTTGGGGATATTCAGACCATACCACGACCCATTTGCCCAAGAGTCCTGTCATGAATACTTTATTACAAATACCATCTGGGACCGGGCTCGGTGACTCATCCTGTCACCCCAGCACTTTGGGTGGCCAGGGTGAGTGGATTGGCTGAGCCCACGGGTTCGAGACCAGCCCGGGCAACTTGGCGAGACCTCGTCTCTACAATAAATCAAAAATTAGCCGGGCGTGGTAGTGTGTGCCTGTAGTTTCAGCTACTTGGAAGGCTGAGGCAGAAGGATCGCCGGAGCCCAGCGGGTCGAGGCTGTGATGGCTGGGAGTGTACCACTGCCCTCTAGTCTGGGCAACCGAGTGAGATTCCAACTTAAAAACAAAAACAAGTACCAGCTGGATTTGAAGCACAGTGATTCTGGTCACTATAAAACAAAAATAAAATTATAAGGCCCCAACTGACAGAATGGACCTCCTCTGGGCCAAGGGAAACTTGAAAAACTAAATTATAGGCCCTAGAGGAAAAGAGGACCGACATGGACATGCCTTGTTACACTCCTCCCCGTGAAGTTTTAGGTA